CCTGACACTGGCTCGGTGTGTGTGTGTGTGTGTGTGTGTGTGTGTGCGTGTTTGTGTGTGTGTGTGTGTGCGTCGACACCCCTCCCCACTCAGGCACAGGTGTCCCCCTTGCTCTCAGACTCTCCTCTCCCAGTCGGTGCTCAGCTGAAATGGGGTGTGGGGGGAAAAAAGGCAGACTGCACCCCACTGTCCAAATCTCTTTTCCCTGGGCCTCAGGATTCCACTATATAGGAAGTCAGAGACACATCAGTGGCTCTGTGGCTCAGGATCTGAGCCTGTGGCCAGAGGGTTGCTGGTTCAAATCCTGTAGCTGGCAGAGGAATCCTATTCTGTTGCGCCCCTGAGCAACTGCTCCACAGGTGCTGTACAACGGCTGACCCTGAGGTGACCCCAAGCTGACCCCAGGCTTGTCTCTCTGTGTCTGTGTCTCATGGAGAGCAAGCTGGGGTGTGCGAAAAGATGAATTCCTGATGCAAGTAATTGCACAGGGCTAATAAAGTTATGTTATGAAGTCAGAAAAAAATAAAAGGCTGTTTAATAATGAGAGCTTTGTTAATATGGGAGTCGGCTGCCAAGGCCAACAAACTTAATTTCTTTAATAACTCATTGCAATTTTCGGGGAGTGGGCCGTCCTAGTCCTCCAGCGCCTCTGCTCTTGTTCCTCGCAGTTACCAAGGCAACCAACATCTGTGACGAACACTGGAGCTGGGTAACAAGCTGCAATAAAAAACTTCAAATTAAAGATGCGGATTTAACTTTCCTGTGAGCTGTCGATGATATTTCCTGAGGACACACGGCTTCTTAATTTATTGCCTCTTACCCAACTTGGGCCAACACCTGCAGGTTTTGTTAAATCGGCTCTAAGATAGACAATTTCTAGAAACTAATTTCACGCAATTAAGAAGATAAATCACTCCGAGGAGCAGTGGGAGTGTGACGCCCTGTGTGGAACAAAGTGTTTTCAACAAAGTAGTTGAACCAGCAGCTCAAAAGTATAGCTCATAGAGTAAACTGCAGTTACCTTAGTGAGGATTACTGAAGCCTGCACCTCACTCCAGAGATCAGTGGCCCTCTGGCGCCCCCTCTCAGCTAGGTTGAAGACGTACAGGTGCACCAGCTCTCCAGGGACAGCCCAGGTCTTATCAAAGGCAAGGACAGTCCACAGTAAGGGCACACAGTCAATACAGCCTGAACTGTAGTTTGAGAACTGGTAGTGTGGATCTGTTTAAGGGATTATAAGGCTCTACATTTAACATTTATTCTTTATCTACCTTAGGCAGGGAGTGGTGACCCTGTGGCTAAGGAACTGCGCCTGTGGCTGGAGGGTTGTAGGTTCAAATCCTGTAGTTGGCAGGGGAATCCTACTCTGTTGGGCCCCTGAGCAAGGCCCTTAACACCAGCTGCTCCAGGGGTGCTGTATAGACGGCTGACCCTGCACTCTGACCCCAAACTTCTCTCTCCCCATCTGTGTGTCTCATGGAGAGCAAGCTGGGGTCTGCGAAAAGATAAATTCCTAATGCAATAAATTGTATACGGCCAATAAAGTGATCTGATCTAATCTCATGTTGCTGCAGAGAGAGAATGCTGTCGCATGTGGTGGTTAATTCTATGTTTTGTGCTTTTTGTGTCCCTCGGTGGCCTTGCTCAAGTCCTGTGTGTGTGTCTGTGTGCGTGTGTGTGCCTGTGTGCGTTGTAGGCAATACCGAAACCACAGAGAAGGTTCGCTGGCATGGCTCCAGAGGGAAAAATGATTAAAAACAATGTGTAGGAGAAACCCAAGACTGTACCTGTGGCAATTATTTCCACTGAGCAGTGCCAAACAATGTAGCCTAGACATCAGCATGCAGCCAGTATCGAGGGTGTGATCAGAGCACAGCCGTCTGTAAACAGACACCCGATTGAGCGAGCAGCCCTGTTCCCTCTCCCCTGGGGACACTGGGTGCTCCCCACTGGGGGTCACACACGCTCTCTGCTGCAGCTGGCATGAGCTCAGGCGGAGCAATCAGGCGGAGCTCAGGACTGTCCAGCATTGTGTGGACAGTGCAGCCCACAGACGAGAGGCTGGCTTGTTTTTTTGGTTTGGTTTTTCAATTGTTCTTAATATACAAACAAATGAGTTAGACCCTTATCAACAGTATGAGGTTGTGTGGTGTTAGGGGTCACATTAAATACTAAGTTTATATGCTGAAAGATTTCTGTAAACCAATTAATTGAGCATATTTTTGATATGGAATAAGGAACCTGAGTATAGCTTAAAAGAATTAGAAAATTCTTTAAATCCCATAAGAGTTTTTTTTAGTCCACGCGTATGTATGTACAATTTTGCCAACATGAGAATGTCATTTAACACTATACAAACTTCTTTGTTTGAATTCAAAACACTAAGAACAATGTCCTTAAAAGTTAGATTTACACAAATATTACTATTATTTAACCAAGAACACACAGAGTACCAGAAAGCTGCTGAATGCTGACACGAGAAAAAAAAATGTGATTAGTTGTTTCAAGATGGAATTCACCAAATGTACAGTACAGGTGTTACAGTCAAAGTGAAACCTTTTTTTTAGAAGTTCCTTAGAGGGATATACGTTGTTCAGTAATATACGTTGTTCAGCCTCTAGAGACAAGCCAGCGTCTGGGTTTTGACAGCATGGCTGAGTAGCCTGTTCCAGTCTCCCCCACAAGCACTTCACTGCAGTTCAGCTCCTTAGGTTTGTGTTTCACTGCTGTTTCCAGGCAGGCCCACAGGGTGGAAGGCCTCTGTGTATTTTGAAAGCTCGTATCAGGTTCCCTTATAGTCTTCTTTGTTCCAGACTTGAATGAACAGTGTTAAGGGTTGTGGCACAGAACAATGGGTTACGGCATTGGATTTGTAACTGGAAGGCAGTGGGGCTGAGCCCCTGGTGCAGACGTTCCTCTTGGGCCCTTCTGCACGGCTCCTTGTACCTGTGCCTGCAGACCACAAGGCTGTGTAATGATGTAACGTGTAATGTAATGTAAATAATGGTGTAACAACCAATGGTGATGCAACGATCAATAATCATGTAATGACCAATGATGATGTAATGCTCAATAATGATGTCATGACCGTTGATGGCATATGCTCTTCATCAGCTTAGTGCTGCTGAAAGTGGGAAGAGTTCTGGCCTGATGAACTTCTAAGCTGGAGGAATGGACATAACCAGTAATTACACTGCTGTTCAGGACTGTAGGGAGGCAGGCAGCGTGGGGATGTGGGCAGGTGGTTAAGGGCAAATCCAGTCAAATGTTCACTGAAACTCAGTGTAATTGTGCAGTGTGTGGCGCGGGGGTGCAATGTTCTTATTGATCAGCACCGGTACAACCCAGGCCACCATTCAGGATCTTGGCACTCCCATTGAGCTGCAGGTGCACAGTCTCTCTGAAGCGAGATTTCAGTCTGGGACAACCTGTCCTTTCTGGAAAGAAAAGGGAAGAAAAATGGGAAAAACCTGTTCCTTAGTGCTCCCACGGATAAGCGGACAATCAGCGTCAGAGCCGGAACAGGCTTCAGCGATGACTCATCAGGGGAGATCCTCAAACAGGAGGCAGTGAACAGACTACAGCACGTGGTAACATCTGGCAGGCTTGGAGACTCTGGTGTGCGAATGCAGCCTTAATGACCACTAGCCAAACAAAGGATCGATAATGGCCAATCACCAGTTTAAGAAATTTTAAATTTTGAAGCATGTTAGAATTTAATTGCTTAAAAGAACTGTATACAGTGCTGTAATAAAGTTAATTAAAAAAAACTTGTTTCAGGTCTTTCCTCTGACCCTCTTATCTAATGTAAAGGTTCTTTTGAGGGACAAGAGACATTATTATTCATAATAATAATTGCTTACTTATATAGCGCTTTTCTGGACACTCCACTCAAAGCGCTTTACAGGTAATGGGGATCCCTTCCACCACCCCCAGTGTGCAGCCCCACCTGGATGATGCACCAGTACTCTCCCCACACACCAGCTCTCAGTGGGGAGGAGAGCAGAGTGCTGAAGCCAGTTCAGAGATGGAGATTATTAGGAGGCCATGATTGGTAAGGGCCAATGGGAAATTTGGCCAGGACACTGAGGTAACACCCTACTCTTTTTAAGAAATGCCCTGGGATTTTTAATGACCACAGAAAGTTGGGAGCTCGGTTTTACGTCTCATCCGAAGGAGATTATTGTTCATGATGGCCCCTAATTCCCTTCAGGAGTTTGATATATTTATCGTATATACTGACAGTGACGGTGGCTTTCACTGGGTAGGGCTTAGCAAATGAAAGGAAAAAACAACAGCACCTGAATTGTAATAATAAACATTAGGACTCAACTGAATTTCTCTCTATATATACATCCTTTCATGTTTAAAGAAATCAAAATAGGAATGAAGACAGGACAATTTTTAAGATCACATTTTAACAAATGATTTCTAAAGGCAAAGACAGAAAATGATTTAAATGTTGTAGTGTTGACACACTCAGTCCCCTCTGAAATCCAGCACGCCGTGGCCTACGTGAAGCTTCAATTTTTTATTTTTCCAATCTCCCTTGTCACCGGACCTGCAGTGTCACCCAGGTGAGGCGGGACAGTGCGGGATGACGTGAGACCCCTTCCAAGTGTACAGCGCCCTGCGACCCTTTAGAATGAGAAACCCTGCAGTAGAGCCCGTACTTATTTTTAAGTATTATTAGCTAAGCATTTGAAAAAGCATTTGAAAAATTCTTCATTATCGATTTAAAAAAACAAAAATTCTCCAGTGTATTTCTCACACAATCCATAACATGGACTTCACGCAAATTCTATCTGAGAGTCAAGAGCGACACTTTCGAAAAACAAAAGAACGTTAAATCAAAGCTCAGTTAGTATTGTCAAAAACATATATATATATAATGAAATATAAAATACAAATTATTTTTCTTAGGCTTTTAATTAAGATTTTTTTTTATTTAATTCGCCTCTCTCGCCCCTCGTAGATCTCCTACCTATCTCTCCGGGCCGGTTTGAAACAGCGAATCTCCCGAGTTAAATCGAAGGTTAGCGTGGGGGAGGCAGAGGAAGTGGTGCGAGCGAACAAAGGCTGTGTGGGGGTGAGTGTGTTTTAGGTTCATTTTCACCGTTTTCTACAAAATGTCCAAGTGAAAACTGGCCAGCAAGTGACCCAAAAGTAACCACATCCCAGACGTTGTGCTGCTGTGCGTGACCATCGACATAGTTTGGCGTATTGGTTTATCTCCATCCCTGAGCCGCCGGAATGTCTGCCGCCATTCATTTGGTGTTGCTGCAGAACATCTGTCATCTTATGGCCTGTTGTTTAATTTGCTTTTAGTTTGATTTTTGTTTACTTGTTAGTATCCAGAGCCCTTTAGAGCCGGCGTTCATCCAAGATATTGTTTGTAGGGGTCAGGAAGATTAGTGTGCCGGTAGAACTCGAGGTTTTCTTTGTTATTGTGAGGCCTTGTGTGTACAGACAACGAGACGGGTCAGTGAGCAGATGTATACATGTATACAAGCACAAGTCTCTTGAGCGGTGATATCCTCTTTGCAAGGAATGAGCTGTTCAGAGTAAGATCGGCACAGTGTGTTGTACTCTGCTGTGATGAACGTGTCGTTCTCTGGTGTAATAATAATAATTATTCAGGTGTTACTGACAGAACTGCATGTCTCTCTCGTGTTTGTGTTGTAAAGTCTGCTTTATCATATTTTCTTTGCTAGTGAGAGAAAAGCGCCTTTATTTATTGTATATGTAGCTGGGCTGCTTTGAGGCTTTGAAATGTTGTAGTACTTTGCAACGAAACAGCTGCCACTGCACAGAACCGTGACTTGGCATCATTGGCGTCTCTAATCAGACTGGCAGGATTGGTTATCATGAGTAGCTCAATATCTCCGTATCCATACCAAACAGTTCAACATGCTGTATTATTTTCTTTTCCTTTTTTTGTTCTAAAAAGATTTATTTATTACAGAACCAATGACCGGAATAGCCTGATATCCTCCATCCATCATCCAAGATGTCAAGTAAGGAAAATTAAATTTCAGTTCATGTGGTTTGATTGTAGTATCAGAAGAGTACAGGTCTCCCTGTCGCCTCCAGTCTCCCCTCCCTGCTGGCCTTTCCAGGCTTGTCCAGAGCTCCAGTCCAGTTCAGAAACTCAGCATTTTCACAGAGCAGGCGTTACTCTTGGCCCGCAGGAAAACGTTTTGCTTTTTCTGTCTAAGCAGGACGATGTGCTGTTTGCCAGAACACAAAATGGTAGAAATAAAATCCACATAAATTATTTTTGTCGTGTTCCAAGTTCAGCATTCAAAGAGTAGTCGCGCGTTTACAAAAACACCATGGGTCTCTTAGCGCTTGTTTGTAAAAACCTGATTTTTATTTTTAAAATCCCCTTTAATTAATTGTGTTCTGTCCTTTGTTGTCAGTTGTTTTGCAGAAAAAAAGAGACCAGGAAGAGTTCAAGAGGGGTGTAACCGGTTTATAAAAGATACTGACATTGAGAATCTAATCCTGTCTTCATGCTTAACCTTTAGTTTAAATGGGCTGTACGTTAATTTAAAAAGTTTTAAGTGTGGCTGATTTCCTTGAGCAGAAAGGAGTGTTAAAGCTCAAGTGTGTTCTCAGCAATAAACAGACATTTACTTGGCATTGGGCTGACAAGAGACTGATTCCACTTGAAGGTTTTTTTTAAACTTTTTCTGAAGGTTGCTTTGCATTAAAAAAAGCTAAATAGTGACCTTGATAGTTTTCTTCAGGAATTAATCTTTCCACTAAATGGGTGAAGAATTTCATAGATAATTCTATGAAGACTTTTCCCTGTGTGTTTTGTGTGTTATGCATGTACACACAACCAGGATGCAGGTCAGCTCTTTGGGGAATATATCTTGTTTTTAAGGTGTGAGTAGGGGTAGTAAATGAGGTCTTTTTGTTAGGGTTGCATGTGCTAATTTCTGAAACACATGGGAAGGGTTAAAGGTTGCAGACCGGGGTGATTTCTAGGAGAAAGCAGCTGCTTGAATGAATACTGATAGGCCTGGAAGGACAGAAGTGCCTGGCGGGGATCCCAGCCAGAGAATATATATATAGGACTGCTTGGTTTAGCTTCAAAATCGGACAGTTTTTCCATTTATTGAGATCTGGACCTAGTCCTTTGCATCGTAGTACTGATAACTGCTCCCCAGTTCGACGGGCATGGTGCCTCTTCGGAGAGTTTCCGTGGGCTGCTTGTAGCTCTGCAGGGTGATCGGTGCTAATTCAAGCAACTCTGCAGCCAGCCGCAGTGTGGGGGGGAGCCAAATCGCCCTGGGGTGTGCCCCGGTTTGCCCCATCCCCACAGGTGCGTTGTGAGCAGTGCAGTAATGGCTCCGTGCAGCTCCGTGTGTCATTAATTTCTTTCCCCTTTTCTTTCATGCAGAAAGGCCATCCTATGCCCCTCCCCCTGCCCCAGCCCCCACCACAGTAAGTATTGCAGATGCAGCACAGAGACAGACGAGGGGGCTCCTTCACTGTGCAAGGGCCTCTGAACCTTATAACAGGCTGGGATCCGGCCTTTGAGTCCGTAAGAAATGTGTTCGAACATCTCAAAGAGATGCAGTCTTCTCCCTCGTTCCTCCATAAACCACTAACAGGAGGAGGTCCCTGCAGGGCTTGAATTTTCCACACTTCATGTGCTGGTGCTGCAGGGCCAGTGAACTGTCCCCTGCAGTTACTGTACTGTGGGTGAAGCGTTCAGCTTTCAAATGCCATTAGTCCTCAGCAGACACCAGTTATGTGTGACTGTAACTCTAAAGTAATGCCTTAGCTGTGGGTATGTTTCCTGTTTGGTTGTAAGCGAAGGTCGTCCTGACGCAAGGAGTGTCAATAATGCCAATGTAGATCACTACCATTGCTGCTTTGAAAAAAAAAATGGTTAGTTGCTTTTGCATGACTCCGTATGCAGACCATATTCTTTTTGTTTTTTGGTTCGTTTTTCTCCTTTTCATTCTTTTTTCCTCCCCTCTTTGTTTCTGTCATTTCTCATTCGTGTTTTTGTCTCATTTGTTTCCATCAGCAAATGCCCAACACCCCAGGGTTTGTGGGATACAACCCATACAGCCATCTGGCCTACAACAACTACAGGCTGGGAGGGAACCCAGGCAGCAACAGCCGGGTCACGGTAGGAGAAATAACTTGCAATTTAGGGCGAGTTAAAACCCCATTGTCAATAGCCGCAAGAGGGGTACTTTGTCTTAGCCATGTTAGTTATTGGATTAGCTGCACACCCCCAGAACTGAAGTGACTATTCACACACCACTGGCTGCTGCTTTCACAGACTTGGTTTGCGGTCTTTCCCTATGTGAGCGTTTTTACATGGACTTCCCAGGGTCCTGTTGCCTGCCTGCAGGAGTAGTACAGTTCTGGGGTGAAATGACCCACGTGCTCTCACAGCAGGGGGCTGGGGTATCTGGCCCATCTGTGCCAACCGCTGTTTGTTGCTGGAGGTGAATTTCAGAAAATAACTCCTCAGGCTCCAGCTGGTTGGAGCTTAACAGCCAGAGTCCAAGAGCTGCCTCGCCTGCTCCAGTCCCACACCTCCTGTGCCCTTCTGCTCCAGTACCTCCTCACCACCCACCTCCCGCTGTTGACGAATATCCTCACTTCGCCAGTGTCTCTATGGAGGCTCTACGTGTGTGTTTGTGTCTGTATGAGCGTGCCAGCCTGCCCCCCTGTAGCTCCCCCGGTCCGCTGTGCCAGGCAGACGCCTTTGCTCCATGCATGTGGCAGCGGGCCTTCGGAGTGGGTGAACCGAACCCGTGAATGGCATCAGACTGCATTGCTTGGCGTGACTGAGCGCAGCAAAGGCGAGGTTGTAACCTGGGTGCAGCACACGCGTGGCTACAGTGGAGTGGAGGTTGATGACTGGGAATCCGTGTTACAATTCCATGGTCACGGTGCCAGCGTTCGAAATATGATGATGCCTAGGGTTTTGCTAGCAGCAAATATGCAAACCCTTAGGCCATGAAAATATTCTGAGCCTTTTGTTCCCCGAGACTCAGCAGTTCAGTCGTTTTAAGGCCTAAAAACATGTAGGCCTCTTCTGCTTAAACTAAGTGGCTATAGAAAACTGTTCACGTGTGTTCCCATGAAGTCTATGTGCAAAACCTAAACAGCAGTATCCTAAAAACAAGCATATTCTGAACAGCTTGAATCTGTTCCTCAATCCTTGAGTATACAGTATATGTTGCGTTGCTTCCAAGCAGCTTAAGCCATTTTCATTTTTTCCTGTTGATATTTTTTTCCATAGTATATTTTTATATTTTTCCGTGTTTATGTATTGTTGAACGTTAAAGAATCACATCTGATTGACCGCAGGTTTGTTTCTGCTCTGTTTGCTTCTGTTTAGAATTCATCAGGAATTACGATCCCCAAACCTCCGAAGCCCCCAGACAAGCCTTTGATGCCCTATATGAGATACAGTAGAAAGGTAAGAGGTCTGACAGGGTGGGCTTTTTCGTGGTTCGCAAACGTTTTTAATGCAAACGGCAGTCCTGCTTTAGGTTGATTCCATGAAGAATATGTAAGCAGTTGGCAGTGATTGGGTAAGGTTAGAATTAGGAAAATCACTACTGTGTGTCTATGGATGCTTTATTAAAAGTTCACAAAACCTCAGTTTAAAGCTCAGGGTGGACAAACTTGGTCCTGTAGGGCCACCACTGATTAGTATGGTCCTGAAATGTGAGTTTTCATCAATGTTAAGTGGATGAAAGTAAGTTAACTGGTTTAGTAATTTCAGGAATGGCCAGCTTGAGCAATATAGGGCTGTTGGAGTGTTATAAAATGTATCTCTGAACTAGGTTAATTAACCAAGTAACCTACCAATAGGAAATTGTTCCAGTTGTTTGGAAATCAGTTGAGAACAACTCCGAAAACCTGCTGACCAGTGGCTCTAAGCGACTGGTAGCCACTCCTGACTTTAGTAAATCATTCCTTAATAAATCTATGAAACTTTCGTTTAGTCTGAAGCATTGTTTCATACCGGCCAGATGCAGGGTCTAGAGGAGTCGCTGACATGATGTATTCCTGTTTAAGAGTATAAATATAATTAGAAAAATAAGGTTAGCTCAATTCTTCTTGTTGGAGGTTTTAACTGCACTTGTGGCACAACAGGGATATAAGTTGTCTATCCGGGACAGCAGTTGTGTTCAGGGCACGGAAGGAGACTTGTCTTACTTGAACAGTTGTTCATTTGTGCTGAATCGATTTGTAACAGTGTGAAAAGAAGAACTTTGTATTTTAATTCCCATCTGTCTGTCTGGGAGAGGAATTAATTTGCCATATGTACATTTACACTGCGATTCTTATTTGTGCTGTTCTCTCTTGACATGCACAGGTATAATAGGCAACACCACGCAATGTGCACAGTACATTACATCATAATGTAAAATAAAGTCACAGCAGACTATCATGCACAGCAACATGTAGATAGTGCAGAGCAATAAACACACAAAGATAAATGCCTTGATGTTGAGAATCAATCTCAAGGAGTTTGGGATGAGGGACAATCAACACATGGCTAAAATGTGGTGTGTATTTGTCATCTTTTTGACTCTGATTTTTATTGTCTGCAGGTTTGGGACCAAGTGAAAGCCTCCAACCCGGACCTGAAGCTATGGGAAATTGGGAAGATAATTGGTGGGATGTGGCGGGACCTCACTGATGAGGAGAAGCAGGAGTACTTGAACGAATACGAGGCTGAGAAGGTGTGTTGAGTGGGCGGAGGGTCCTGCCCGCGGACTGTGCACCTCCAGTCTGCCTCAGCTGTTCTTGAACTCAAGTCAAAAGCTGTCTGTGGCTGAGATTTAATCCACAGCAGTTATTTGATCAGTGTATCACTTGTCTGGTGACAAACAACCCAACCTCACAGAAGTTCTGGTGGAGTCGGTCACTCAGATTTGTTATATTCTATAATCATCCTGGTGGGGTGGTGGTGGAGGGGAGTCCCCATTACCTGTAAAGCGTTTTGAGTGGGGTTTCCAGAAAAGCGCTATATAAGTATAAGCAATTAATCATCCAGGTGGGGTGGTGGTGGAGGGGAGTCCCCATTACCTGTAAAGCGTTTTGAGTGGGGTTTCCAGAAAAGCGCTATATAAGTATAAGCAATTAATAATAATAATCACTTGAATTGGCTTATTTGCAAGAGTCACGCCGAGGTGATTCCTGTTAATTATAAAAGAGGAGAATAGACTCTGAAAGCTAGGAGTTGGGTGGCTTAGCTCAATTATGCACTCTTGTTTGACAGCATGCCTCCCATTATGAAGGCTTCTCTTTTACAACCCCTATAATTCCTTGACATGGATCCCAGAATTCACTTCTGTCCTACATGGGATACATGCCTTGTCATAAAGAATGAACATTATTTGTTTGTTTCGTGTATGCGTCTTATCCGAAAGCCCAGTAGATGACTATATCTGACCCACGGCCCTGCCTCTTGCTTGCTCCCCCACCTGTCCAGATTGAGTATAATGAATCAATGAAAGCCTACCACAATTCCCCGGCCTACCTGGCCTACATCAACGCAAAGAGCCGAGCAGAGGCAGCTCTGGAGGAGGAGAGCCGGCAGAGGCAGTCCCGCATGGAGAAGGGCGAGCCCTACATGAGCATCCAGCCCGCCGAGGACCCTGACGGTGAGAAATTCACTGCTACAGCTGCCTGTTGTTGCTGCTCTGCTCTGCCCTGTCCTGGCCTCCTGCTCTGCCCTCCTGCTCTGCCCTGCTCTGCCCTGTCCTGGCCTCCTGCTCTGCCTGCTGCTCTACCCTGCTCTACCCTGCTCTGGCCCGCTGCCCTGCTCTGGCCCGCTGCCCTGCTCTGGCCCGCTGCCCTGCTCTGGCCCGCTGCTCTGCCTGCTGCTCTGCTCTGCCTGCTGCTCTGCCCTCCTGCCCTGCTCTGCCTGCTGCTCTGCCCTCCTGCCCTGCTCTGCCCTCCTGCCCTGCTCTGCCCTGCTCTGCCCTGCTCTGCCCTGCTCTGCCCTCCTGCCCTCCTGCCCTGCTCTACCCTGCTCTACCCTGCTCTGGCCCGCTGCCCAGCTCTGGCCCGCTGCCCTGCCCTCCTGCCCTGCTCTGCCTGCTGCTCTGCCCTCTTGCTCTACCCTGCTCTGCCCTCCTGCCCTGCCTCCTGCTCTGTCCTCCTGCCTCCTGCTCTGTCCTCCTGCCTCCTGCCCTGCTCTGTCCTTCTGCCCTGCCTGCTGCTCTAAAGCTTTCCTGTCCTACTGCTGCCTCACTGAGCTGCTCACCTGTCTGACTACACACCTGTTCTACGTGTTACCTTTCCTTGTAGTTTCTATGCACTTTGGCTCTCCCTGTGTACAAATGTCCTCTGTGGATATTGTGAGGCCATATAATATGTTTCTTTCCAACCACATTCATCAATGATTTTCTTTTTCCTGGGATTTAAATAATTCTGATGCAAGGAAACCATAACACCCTGTCTGAATGGTGACGCATCTTTCAGTTGGTGAACTACAACCAGAGTCGTCTTTTTATCATTTGCCAGATTATTAAAATGTCTTCAGATGTTTGGAATGTGATGAGAGCAGAGTCTGGCAGGATTTTACTGTGAAGTTAGGAGGCGTGTTTGGCTCATTTCAAGCCAGAGTCCCTATTCTGCAAGCTCAGTGAGAGCTTGCTTAATCTTAAGTGGGGCAGATGCCATTTGCTGCTGTCGGCAGAACAGAAACCGAAGGGAGTGGGTCCAGTTTACTTTTCGCTGGCTGTGCTTCATGAAGCCTGTCTGCCTGAAAGTGCTGCTCCTCCTTGCTGTCTGAAGTTAATTTATTTTCTTGTGTAATTACATTTTCTGCTCAAGGGTATGGGTGCACATGCAGATCCTGCCCTTCATGTTTTTGACATGCAGTACAAATTGAAATTGGTGTAGGAGGATGTTAAAGGACCCCAGTCAGCTGTGGCCTTGATGTCTGTGCCTGAGTGTGCGACTCGGCTCTTGGCCCCCAGGTCCTGAAACTCAGATTTAAATTACTCCTTGGAATTGCTGCTTACCTTAGCTGGGTTTTGAAGTAGCTATAGCTATATGCTTCTGAAATGGCTACCTGCCCTTGAAGATCAGATGAAATAGTGTGGGATCAAGATCATGTTACTAGACTGTGGCTAATGAGGCCCAGCTGTTCTCATTCTCATGTTGTTCCATTGGAAGTGGTATGAAAGGTGCTGGTTAAGGATGTAGGGTTATAGTAAAAAAATCACATTTACCATGTTTAATACACTGTTGAAAAGGAACAGCACTATTCCTTTTCTCGCTGTCAATGAAGTGTAGACTTCAGAGGGCGGTGTGGTCAGCTTCCCATTGCAGGCGATGCTGTTGTGTCTTTTGGCTGCGCAGCTCGGAGCTGCTTTCTCAGGGACGGAGCACCTGCTGTCTTTTTGCTCCTCTGGTCCTCGGCCACGGCCCAGTAGAATTAATCTGCCAACCGGTGCTCCGTTCCGCACACAGCTCTCGGTTACAGCCGTGTGAGAATCTGCCCTCCGCTGCTGTTCTCAGCTAGCAGGCTGGAAGAGCCATCTGTCAGGGCAAGCTGGGCGTGCCGAGCTCCGCGCACAGGGCCGGTTTTCTCAGAGTTCCCAGACGATCAAAGTGACTTAGAAAAGATGTAGCGATCTGGGGTGGTCTTGCACGCTGGTTTGCAATGCATGTCTGACAGGTTTTGTGGTGGTGTTCTCCACCTTGCCCTGAGGCACCAGCTGAGCTCCGGTAAAGTGAAGGATGCGTGGCGTGTACCGTACCAAGCCCTCTCCTCAACTCATCCCGGCAGGGCGCCATCGGGGGGTTTCTGTTTCTGTCTTTTTGCGTTTCTCCCCTTATTTTGATGCGTTTGAATTTACTGCAATGCGTTCCCTGTGATGTCAGTTCCAAATTCTCAAACTGGAAAAATAAGACGGTTCAAGTAGGCAGCTGCATCAGCGTGCGTAGGCTGCAAAGGAACAAGTTAAAGGTTTGTTCCACGCTGAAAAGAGAAGAAAGAGAACACAACATTTCAGCTGTGGAGCCTTCTCCGGGTGTGTTTTCGAAAAATAAAACTGGTGCCGACAGGTTCCTGATCTGTCTGCAGCAGAAAAAAATGTGAAATTATGATCCGTCGTTCTTGGACTTTGAGACTCTGATTTTCCTCCGCAACGAGTCTGTTTGAATCAAAATTTCTTCTTAAAAAAAAAAGTGTCCAGCTTCTGTTTGCCGAGGTGTTTTTTTAACCTTTCATTACAAAGGGCATCATGCTTTTCCCCTTTTGCTTTTCACGAAGCGTAAGCGAATTATGTCTGTTGTTTTTTTTCCTGTTGTTGGGTGGCGGGGGCAGATTACGACGACGGGTTTTCCATGAAGCACTCAGCCGCAGCCCGATTCCAGAGGAACCACCGGCTGATCAGCGAGATCCTGAGCGAGAGCGTGGTGCCGGACGTGCGCTCTGTGGTCACCACGGCCAGGATGCAGGTCCTGAAGCGCCAGGTCCAGTCTCTCATGGTGCACCAGGTAGGAGGCGCAGGGCGAGGGCTTGTCGCCACGTGTCCGGGAGGTTCCTGGTGTCGGATTCGGCTCTGCCACAGCCTCGCTGTCTCTCCGATCGAGTTCCTGAGCCCCCGGCACTTATCTGTCTCGTTCTCTCGCAGAGGAAGCTGGAAGCCGAGTTGCTCCAGATTGAGGACCGCCACCAGGACAAGAAGAGGAAGTTTCTGGAGTCGACGGAGTCCTTTAACAGCGAGCTGAAGCGGGTGAGCAGGCCCAGCTTGGTGTCCCCAGGGTGACCTGCAGCTGCCCAGGCTCGGGGGCGAGTGGTTTCTGGCCTGTGGGGGGTCCAACACTCACATGCACTTGTGCTGCAGGACCAGCCTGATTCCCCCAGCCAGCCTGCCTGCTCTGGGTTAAGCGCTTGGTTAAGGCTGAGTGTTTAAGTGAGGATTAGGACTGCAGGGAGGGCTCCACTCCAGATACAGATACGTCTTGGATCTTCCAGTTTTAAAGAATATTTTTGATTTCCTTGCTGTGGAAAAGTCTGAATGCATACTGAGCATCAAAGAAACACAAGAAATCAAAGAAACCTCACCTAGTTTTTTCTGTAGTCGTTTAATTTTTGTTCGCAAGATTTTAAATCTCTTACTGGAAGCATAAACACTTTTTGGTGTTTATTGGAACATCAGTAGAACATAGAAGTTTCCAGCTAGTGCACATGGTTTTGACACACTGATGTGCCAAATTGGTCTTCTGAGGTTATGAACAGTTTCTGTAGAGCGAACCAGCTTTGCTTTTACGAGGCCAATCTCCCACAACAGCACAAAGACCTGCAAGAGTGAGGTAATGTGCAAACCGGAGGTTTTAACTGCCTGGCCCACTTGCTGATCATTGGGATCTCCCTAAGGAAGTTGGATGGAACAGTTAAC